TCTCTCCCTCATTCTCCTCCTCTCTCACCCTCTCCCTCTCTCTCCCCCTCTCCCCCTCGCTCACCCTCTCTCTCCCTCTCTCTCCCTCATTCTCCTCCTCTCTCACCCTCTCCCTCTCTCTCCCCCTCTCTCTCTCTCTCTCTCCCCCTCTCTCTCCCCCTTTCTCTCTCACGCCCTTCTCGTACTTGATAAAGTCGTCCTCCTCAGCTGAGTGGATGCTTGCGGGGTGAGCCTTGTAGGGGAAACATCCTGCCTCGTACACCATCGTGAAAGGCAGGATGATATAGGGAAACTGAGCAAATTTGTCAGTAGAGACTGCGTAGCAGTGACCGCCATTCTTCACCCAGCCAAACTCGCAGCCGTTGTACTCTAAACACATAGATTAATAATTACGCATAGGCAAATTAAAATATTTACACGTCACTGCATTACGTTATTAGATTTACATGTAACTATATAACAACTAATACATTATCAGATTTACATGTCGTTAAATTACAACTAAATGTAACTTCTTATTTTTGTTGTTGTTGTTGTTCTTCTTCTTCTTCTTCTTCTTCTTCTTCTTTTTCTTCTTCGTCGTCACCGTTGCTGTCGTTTTTGTTATTGATGATGATGATGATGATGATAATGATGATGACAATGGGGTTGACGATGATACGACGACGACGACGACAATGCTGTTGAGTGTTGCCGACTACGGCGACGGAGATGACGACAGCTATAACAACGGTCAGTGACAGTAACACGCACACACCCACACGACACCTCGTACCTTTCTGGCACACGTAATGCAGAAGCGACGTGAGAGGTACTGTGTGCGTGAGTAACCTGGGTCCGTTCGCACGTACGGACATTCCAATCGACGAGTCACCGCTCGACGCGCCCTCCGCCCACCACGGGTCAAACGTCACAGCCGCGCCTTGCTCCGTGTAGCTCGCGTACCAGGACCACTTACTGCCCTTGTAGCGCCCGGCTACCCACAGCTGCTGCTGGTCAGCGACATCTAGCGGCAGAAATTTGAATAAAAGATAATTATGAAAAATAAAAACAAAAGGAAACGGTGCATCACAAGTCTCATACCTCATAACCTAAAACGCCCACAAGGTCATCACATAAAGTTTTCACGGAGAGAGAACAAAGTTCGGGGGAGGGGAGGAACAAGGGGAAATCGATAAATCTTTTTTTCAGATTTTACTTGGATTAGAGCATAGCATTTATAACCTCACAACCTCATAAGCTCATAAGCTCATAAGCTCATAACCTCATAACATCCTAACATCATAACCTCATAATTAACCTCATAACCTCATAACATCATAACCTCATAACCTCATAACCTCATAACCTCATAACCTCATAACCTCATAACCTCATAACCTCATAACCTCATAACCTCATAACCTTATAACCTCATAACATCATAACCTCAATAACCGTCATAACGCTCATAATCATACCTCATAATACTCAGTATCTATAACCATCAATAATCTCATAAACTCACTAACCTCATAAACTCATAACCATCATAACATCCATCAACTCATAACCCATAACCTTATACCCATAACCCTCATAACTATATAGATTAACGTCAATAACATCATAACCTTCGAGGAGAATACAACCTCTCATAACCTCGAGTAAATCTCATAAGACCTCATAACCTCACTAACCTCATAACCTATAAACTCATAACCCATAACCTCATTAGCCTCATTAACACCATAATCTCATAACCTCAGGTAATCTCAAAACCTCATAGAGCCTCGGATAACCTCATAACATCATAAGCTCAGTGACCATAAACCTCATAAACCTCATAACTTCATAACCCATAACCGCTCATAACATCATAACCTCGTGACTTCATAACCTCAGAACCTCATAACCTCATAACTCATAGCCTCATAACCTCATAACCTTCATAGCCTCATAACCTATAAACCCTCATACCTCATAAGATATAACCTCGTATAATAATTAGGCTGTCAGTGGAGCTATAACGAAGAGGCCAAAGAGACGCAGTTAATTATAGCAGAAGATCAAGCACTGCGGGTCGAGTAGGAAAGTCTCAATCAGGCTTTACTTCGGTGTGCTTGTTGTCAGTGAGGCAGTAAGAGATAGTGAGACAGTAGTGACATTGAGGCAGCGATACAGTGAACAGTGAGGCTTGAGATAGTGAGATAGAAGAACAATTGAGAACGGTGAGTCGTGAGCATAAGAGAGTGAAGAGAATAGACAGTGAAACAGTGAGACAGTGAGACAGTGAGACACAGTGAGACAGTGAAGGAGATGAGAGCAGTGAGAGCAAGTGAGAACAGTGAAGCCACGAGGCAGGAGACAGTGAGAGAGTGAGACAGTTGGAGACATTGGAGAGAGTGAGACAGTGAGAGAGCGGTTGAGATAGGTGAGCAGTGATACAGTAAAACATTGTAAACAGTGAGAGCAGTGGGAGGTACGATTGCTGGTAAAAAGTAACAAGTGACCCTTTCGTGCCCTAAGGCGGCGCGCATCCAACCTAAAACAAACGAAGCCGTACACGTACATGTCCGGTCGTCCCTGTCACATCGGTAAACGTTTGTAAAGACTTGTGGAGCCTCTAGCTTGACAGTAAGCGTCCTCTTTCCGCACGTCAGCAGCGCAATCCTGCTCATGGTGACTCATCCTGGAAAGCTGCATGCATCACGTTGTCAACGATTGACCAGGCCGACAGGGCTATGGATCTAGTAGAGAAAGAGAGAGAGAGAGAAAGGGTGATAGAGAGGGTGAGAGAGAGTATGAGAGAGAGAGGGAGGCGAGAGAGTGTGAGAGTGTGTGAGAGAGAGATAGGGTAAGCGAGAGAGAGAGAGAGAGGAGGGAGAAAGCGGTTATGAAAGAGGGTGAAATGGAAAAAGGGGACGAGCGAGAGAGATAGAGAGAGAAAGAGAGAGAGTGGCGAGAGTGAGAGTGAGAGAGGTGAGAGGGAGAAAGGGTGAGAGAGAGAGGGTGAGAGAGAGAGAGAGAGAAGAGAGGGTGAGAGAGAGTGTTTGTGTCAGAGTGAAAGAGAGATGGTGAGAGAGAGAGAGAGAGGGTGAGACAGAGAGGTAGAGAGGGAGAGGAAGAGAGTGGGGGAGGGAGGGAGACAGAGGGTGAGAGAGACGGGGAGTGAGAGAATTAGTTACCATCAGTAGCATCAAATGGTCGGTGTTGTCAGTGGACGTGTTGTGGTTGTTGTTGTTGTTGCATAGGCTTTTGAATGCTGAATTTTGTTGTATGTTATTATTAAGTTTTGTTGCTGTTGCCGTTGTTTTGTGCAGTTGTTGTTACTGTTGTTGTTGTCTTTTGTTTTCGTCATTGTTACTGTAATAGTAGCTGTTGTTGTTGTTGTTGTTGTTGTTGTTGTTGTTGTTGTTGTTGCTGCTGCTGCTGCGGCTGGTGGTGTCTTTGTTTACAAATTGATGCTGCTTGCTTGTTTTCGTCGTCGTCGTCGTCATCGTCGTCATCGTCGTCGTCGTCGTCATCGTCGTCGTCATTGTCGTCATCGTCGTCATCGTCGTCGTCGTCATCATCGTCGTCGTCGCCGTCGTTGATGTTTTTGTTTATTTTTTATATTTTTTTAAATTTCCAGGTATGTTACTTACATGTTACAGGCATTACAATACATACTTGTACATATATATTTAAACTTATATATATAATTTGATACGTAGGTATACTTTGGTACAAAACTATACATAATTTACATTTGCATGTTTGGGATCCTATAACATATAAGTTCAAAATCAAGACTTTGTGTATATTGAGGTATAATATTTATATGTGGTTTCTATCGTAAATTGTGGAATATAGAAGCCCGTTTACCATAAAATTTGTTCACATTGTTATTTGTTTGTGCTATATTCTCTTCAATGTTTATAACATGTTTAATATTATTATTATTTTTAGTAATAATAATAATAACAATAATAATAATAAGGAAAAGAAGAAGAAGAAGAAGAAGAAGAAGAATGTTGGCTACCAGGTTTCCATAATATGACGTGAGTTTATAATGAACTTCATAATTAGAGTGGTAAAATATTCGGTTTCTGTGTCAGTAACTATGCATTCGTGCGTGTTCTCATGTGTGCGCGTCTGCGAGTGTATGTGTGTGCGTGTGCGCGCGTGCGCGTCTGCGTGTGTTTGCATGCATGTGGTGTGTGTGCGTGTGCGTGTACGCGCGTGCGTGCGTGCGTGTGTGTGTTTCCATGCATGTGGTGTGTACGTGCCAGAGCGTACGTGCGAGCGTGTGTGTGTGTGTGCGAGCGTGCGTGCGCGCGTGTGTGCGTGTGTGTGTGCATGCGTTTGTGTGTGCATGCGTGCGTGCGTGCGCGTGCGTGCGTGCGTGTAACCAGCCCACTCACATGTAAAGACATCGGCCTTGCACGCGTACGTCCGCGCGAGCGTGCGTGAGCGTGTGTGTGTGCGTGCGAGCGTGCGTGCGTGCGTGCGTACCTGCGTGTGTGAGTGCGTGCGTGCGTGCGAGTAACCATCCACTCACATGTAAAGACATCGGCCTTGCACGCGTACGTCCGTGCGTGCGTGCGTGCGCGCACGTGTGTGGGTACGTGCGTGCGTGTGTGCGTGCGAGTAAACATCCACTCACATGTAACGGAATCAGCCTTGCAGACGTACGGCAGCGGCCAATTGCAGTCGCTGTTCAGTCCCCACGTGCTGTCCTCATAATCGCAGTAGTAACAGCCGACCTCATAACTATAGAGCAAGCACGGCGGCTCACAGAGGACGCTGTAGTCTAGCGACGTCGTGTCGTTCCACTTGGCCGGCTGGATGCTGCCGTGGCGTTGCAGACCGGCGTAGTAACGCGTCGTGTAGCCGACGTCATACATTTCTGCCGGTTTCCATTGCCTCATCAGCTCCCTGCCAACACGCACAGTCGTTAGTAAAGAAAGGAAATTGAGGGAGAGGGGTGGGAGGAGGGAGAGGGGTGGGAAGAAGGAGAAGTTTAGCAGGAGAGGGAGGGGTGGGAGCAGGGAAAGAGTTAGGAGTAGATGGAGGGGTGGGTCATATATTGATGCCGGCTCCCATTTCCTCATCAGTTCCTTTGCCAACACACTCAGTCGTTAGTAAAGAAAGGGAAGGGAGGAAGAGGAGTGGAAGGGGTATAGTATGGAGAGGCAGGGGTGGTGTGATTCGGTAAAGCGCTGCTCTTTTTTATACGCTCTCTCTCTCTCTCTCTCTCTCT